AACAGCAGTTACAATCCAGAAATAAAGAAGGAATCACTTACCTCTTTCCAAGGATCAGGACTCCCTGAACACTCCAAAGCAGACAGCCTCCAAGTAGACATACTTCTCTTGCAGCTGCTGGGCCTTAAATGCGGTTAGGGAGGGGGTGGACCCAGGGTCACACACATGAATTGCTTCCACCTGTGCTCCCAGGGCTGGCTGTACTTCTTTGCCAGGTGCTCAATCACTGGTTCAGGTCATGACCTAACAGTTGCCATCCAGTTAGTTGGTAGAGTTTGTTGTTCAAAACGTTCAAGTAAAGTAAATAACATGATCTGGTGTGAGCAAGAAAATGTAGTTCTTTTTAAAGGGCAGACTTTTTAGCAGTTCATATAACTCCGTAATTAGAATAAATGGATTAAATGTGATACATTTGTTTATGATTAAGGTATTTATTACATACATATAGCAGGTGCGAATATAACCTTTTCTTTGTAAATATGAAAGGACTGATTGTCTTTCTGAAATAGATAAATTTATGGAATGAAAAAGAAAGTGCAGAGAATAACAGTCAATAAACTGAATAACAGACAACAGAATTAGCTACAGGCATAAATAAGTGCATGGTAAGGGTAATTTGTTTTGATTCTGGAAAAGATATTTGCACTGAACTTTCCACTTATTAATACTCATTAGAATATATACATGTATACTTCATCTATGCTGAGGAAATCAAAAACTATTTTCTAGAGTTACAGTTTTCTAAGTGAATTGATAGAGTTGGCTGTGTTTCAGAAGAACTTCCCATAAACAGAATTTATTACAAAACTGAGAGAGAAAAAGCCACACAGATAAGGTGATGTCAAAACCAAGATGTTAACATATTAATAGAAGTTCTGTGAACGTGTTAGAAGAATTAATGACCGTTTCAAGAATGTTTTGGTTTGGTTTTCTTGGTTTGTTGGTTTCTTTTGGAATGTATACAGTTCTAAAAGTAATGAAATGAAACTGTCACAACAAATTATTCTCGATCACTGAAAATATCAGCTCGTTCTTTCAGTTGGGAAATCGATGGCAAATATGTTGATTATCTTGCGGAAAGAGCTCAGGAGTCTCCAATTCTTCACAATGGCTTATATTTGGAAAGCACTTCTGTTCTAGCAATCAGATTTCCTCATTCTCTTTTAATGAACCTGACACCGATCGTACTGCCATTCTATGGATGCTGTTAAAGAAGAGTTTAGTGGGTGGTTTTTTGTTTCCTTATTTGTTTCCAGAAAATGATTACCAACATTGAAAATTTCAGTATATAAAATGAAAGGTGGTTCTTCATAACTTATTCTCTAGGCCCAGGTAGCATGTGACTCTCTTTCATCTCTTGTTCTGTAGATATTTGATTGATTATCAATGTAACTGTTTCAATGACAGCAAAACTTAGTGCTCTGGATTTCAGATGATCAGGCTACCAGTTCAGTAGCTCCAATTTACAAGTATTACGTAAAATAAAACATGAATGAAATAGAAACTGTCTCTGAAAAAGCAAATTTGAGAATTTGTGACCGTGGCAAATCACAAAACCATTGATATTCCTTTGCTCTTTCTGTCTCTAAAATGGGATGTTGGTACTACCCAGTATTTATGAAGAACAATCACTTTTATAGACAAGAAGGCTCGAAGATGACTAAAATCTGATATGCTAACATACTAATAGTTAAAATGTACCTGTTTGTTTCCTGCCTGGATTTTGACCAGGATCTGTGGAAATTTCTGTGAATAATAAATTGTATGGCAATTGTATGCTTCTTGCATAGCAACATTAATAAAATACCCACTTTCCTGTTTGGTAAACTTTCAGGTTAAGTCATTTATAAGGAGAAAAAACACTTTCATTTTAAGAACAAGTGAGCCTGATAAATGAAGCATTTCTTCAACAGTCCAATGTCATTTTTTCTAAGTTCATTTTAAGCCTTGAATTGAACATTAACAAATGGTTATAAATGATTATACATACAACAAAGTGAATAGGTAATCTGAGAAGATGAGTTTATCTATACTCTTGGGTAGCTGTTACTATTTACTTGCAATCTGGCTACAGTTACCATTGTGAGGAGAATAGTCAATCAAAGTAGAATATGTAAAATAAAATTGAAAATTGAATTGGAAGGTAATTTTACTTTCAAATGATTTGCAAATGTAGATGTTAAGTGTGAAATGAATGCAGTTAATGGCCGTAGCTGGGAGAGTTATGCACCTGCTGATCACAGGAATATTATTATAAATGAGGTTGATTTTCCTGTTGACTACCTCATTTTTCTCAACATGGTCTCATTACTTTTCTATCACGTCTGACCCTTAGATATAAATACTCAAACACAGATGTTGTAAAAATACATTAACTCTTATATGGATTTTTTTTAATATGTCTTTGAAAATCAGGAAACAATGTAACTGAAGAGTCTGGAAGTTTTACCCCTTCCCGAATAATTTTCTTTACTGTCCCAGCAAAGAAATTATTTTATAGAATTTTAAGACCCTCTTCTTTCTTCAATTTTGCCCCTTCTCCAAAAGTTTCACCACATTTCTACTGTAAAATATAAATATTTTTATTGTTTTAAATTTATTTACTGAAATAAGTTTTAAACTTCTTTAGGTGTGCTTATAACTATATATCTAGGGTTTGCCTCTTCTTTATGGCATTCATGCAATCACAAAAAGCATCTTATTTTAGATTGATGTTTCAGAGCGTGATATAAACATGCATAGTTTTATCTAATCATGTTTTTATTGCACTTTGGAATGTAGCTAAGCTGTACATTTACTAATAGCCTTTTTACTGCAAAGGTACCTAATATGTTTCAGGAGGGAGAAAGATAAAAATTTAAAGATATGAAAATAAACCATGACATTTCAACATATTTCTTGAACTAATATTATGAAGTGAAAAAAAGTTTCTCTTGCCAGTTATTCAGAGATGTGCATAGTTTAAGTTCGGGTTGGTACTGTTTTGTCATGACATCTTTTATATCAGCATTTTGCACTGCAAATAACTGTGTGTTTCAGCAAGAACACTGTTTTTGTTTGGCGCTCCTACAACTGCCTGATCAACCTAGTTGCTCAGCTAACTGCATATCCAAGACATTAGAGGTGTTTCAAACAACCACTACTGCCATTCCTTGGAATTCTTTGGCACCTCAATTGCACAGCACTTCTGAGCAGCAAGATTGAGAACAGAGTGGAGAGTTTCTGAAAAATGCAGTCCTATGCTTTCACCGAAGTGTATAAAAGAAGCAGAGTGATGGATGGAGCTGTGCCTGGATCTGGGGCGCAAGTTTAGCTGTATGGCCAACTTGATGATCTTAGGGGAATTATTTTGCCCCAATTTCATCAAAAGTAAAATCAAGCCCAGAATCCTACCATTGTAAGACACTTTAAGATCTTGTGATGAAAGCACTTTTCAAGAGCTTGATGGTATCATTCATCCATTCATAAATATACATGCAGCTGATACTGAAATGTCCTGTTGATGGCAGTGCTGAGGACATAATGCTGTACTCTGGCACAGAAATGATATTTCTTTCTTCAAGATGCATTCAGTTTATTTGTGGAACTACTGATCTCTCAAAAGAAACTGCTAGTAGACTCTTCAGTTCTGTTTTGATTCACCAACCAGTCTTATGAGGATGAATAAATCAGAATGGGAGAGCGAAGATCCAGCAAGTTCTGGAAGGCCTCTGGACCTCTTTTACTTTGTGTGATGTTCACAACATTAGCGGGAAAATAGAAGGAACTTCTATGTTTTTATCTAGTAGAACCCTTTGGTATTCACTTAATTGCAATTGTCTTGTACTGAATGATCTCCTTGTTGAAGTCTTGAATTGCCAAAAATAGATGTAAAATGTAACACAGCAGAGTGGATGCCTTTCTCACTTGACCCCAGGAATCCTGAGAACATTTCAGAATGTTTATCAGGAAATTTTGGATGACAGCATTTCATCAGCTCAGCAGCAGGTAGTCCTTACTAATTAAAAATATTTTTGTTTAAAAAAGAAAAAGAAGTAATCTACAGGGTACTCTCACAATTTCAATTTAAAGTCTCACAAGCCCAGAATTTAAATCATAATTATTTATGAGTAATTACTTTTTAAAAAAATAATAGTGACAGAAAGTTGTTTACAGTAATTATTTGTCACCTTCTCAGAGGGGCTGCTAATTATAGAGAAATACCCATCTGTTAGAAATGGGGTTGTTCAGAAATACAAGAAAATTTATCGTGATTTCCCCACAGAGACTGCAGCCTTTAAGGTCTGTTATTCAGTATCATAGAGTGGTGCTGTGGGCCAGTATCAACGTTCTGCTGCTGTCAGGACTTGAAGAAAGCAGAACATAAGCAGTCTCTTTATCAGTTGAATGCAAACCTAGTATTTGTGATCATGGCTGTGGTCTAAATCTATTACAAGTGTTCAATTCAGTGTCCTTAGTGTCATTGTGAGACGACCTGAATAGTGAACGATGCACTTCTGTATTATGTTGTACACGAAGGTGTGTGTCAGAAAGTGAAATGAGCAGACGGTCTTATGTTTAAGAATGACAGGGGCTCTTTTCAGGAAAGGAAAGCAAATAATGTTTTTCTAGTTAGAAGGTGACAGTGTATCCCAAGATAACACAAGCTTAAGGGGAAGAAACAAGTGTGATTATTAAAGGCTACTGGGTTCTCACTTCAAACAAATTGAATTCTTTCATAGTCTAAAGAGCTATGGAAATCTAGGAAAGAGTGTAGACTGTTGAAATAAAATTAGCATGTAAAGTGATTTTATATATGCAGGAATATCACCACCAAGGTTGAATTTGAGAAAGAAATCTCATTACTCATCTTGTAGAAAGGAATTCTTAAATTCTCTATTTGCTATCACTGACACAAAGGTTCTGCATAAGAAGAATAGGGTTTTTTTGTGATTGCTAAAGATACTGGGTTATTGAATTGACAAAGATCCATCCTATTCTCTCCTGCTTTTATTTTGCAGGATAACTGATTTAGGAAATATTAAAAGAAGATTATATTTATCAACAGTCCACAAGGAGTTGTCTGTAACCCCTCTGCATGCAAAAATTCCTCTGTTTATGATCAGGCGCAAAATAGTAGGTATTTGGGGAGTGTTCCTTTAACTGTGGTTGAGCAGAACTTTTTTTATCAGAAGGATTTTATATAAGTCTACAGACCTGTTGAAATTACTGTTTGCTTCAGAGTGCAATTGATGCACAATATGTGTGTGTCCCACCTACTGGATGGTATGAGAGCCACTTAATACTGTTCTCCAAGATTGATACTGTTTGTGTTGTGTTTATCTGTCACTTTTACTGTCTGTTCTGCCTGTGGCCATGTCTCTCATTCTTCTTTATAGTGCTCCTGTTCACACGTACCTTTTCCTGTAGTGACCTTTTATAACATACGCTGGAGCTGCAGCTGTCAATTATAGTTGATGACTACTTTCATGTGCTCCAGGTTTCTCCAGTTTCTAGAATATATAAAACACTATATATCAGCCTGTTGAAAATAAAACAATAGCTGTCACATTCTCCCTATTGTTTTCTCCCATACCCAGCCAGGGCACATGATAATGCCTGGCAGGATAGAAAACCTGGGAGGTTACCATATAACCTTGTAAGAACTTGAGTCTTGAATACCTTTTTAGAAGAACTGTTAGAAACACAGGTGAGCATAGCTCTTCTTAAACATCTCAGGCTACATCTGGAAGACACAAAGCCACAAGAAGACATATTTTGTTAGTTCTCTTTTTAGTGTTATTTGCTTTATGCAAAACCTTTTTCCTAGGAATATACTGAATTTTATTGCGGTCCATATCCAGATAAATACTGTAGCAACTCATTTCTGTATTATAAAAACCAACAATATGCAAGTGGAAAATGGTCATTAAACATTTTCCTCACCAGTTGCTTATTTTGAGATATCTGCAAAATGTGTTGTGGATGTGGTAGGGAACTGAGCTCACTTGAACTGGCAGTCATTAGGTCGTATGTAGTGAGTTACTTACATAAATAGTTGTTGCACAGAAACATCTTTTTAAATATCAAAATGTTATGCACTGTGGGTCACAGCCTGCAAGGATCTAATACTCCACAAAGGCTTCATTTACTGAGATCTGTACACTAATACGCTTCTACAGTGATAAGTGTTTGGGTTTTATTCAATAATTTTGCTGCTTCTTTCTAGTGGTGCAACTTGTGTATTGACCTGGTAGCATTCACCAGTGAAATATTCAGAGGAGCCATCTTCCAGTCCTTGGATGGAATTATTATTTCTGCTAACTGTAAGCTGAGGAAGATCTTCACGTTAAAATCCAAGCCTCAAGATACAGCTGAAGAAACTGGTGTGTTATAATTGCTTTCTAGTCTTAATCATAACTGTTTATATTATAAAATCAAAAGCTTCCTGGTCTTCAGATTTACAGCTTGAAAAATTATCTGACTACCTGAAAATTAAAGGGACGGGGCAGTGTATTAAATGTGTTCATGTTGGACTTCAGGTGACAAATAAATGAATGTTCCTCTGCTTAAGCATCAACTTTATTAAAAGCATCTTATTGAAGGAATTCTGACAAGATTTATGAAGTAGAGAGCATTTTTTTCCAACAGTGTCTTACTCTGATAGAAGGCAAAGTTTGGGCCAAGAAGAGGGTGTCTGAAAAGAGCATTTGGCTACTGCTGGTTTTCTTCGTTGCAGAGTTTCACTGCTGCTGAAGGATTTCTTTTTAAATGATCCAAGACAAAACTTGAACAAAACAGCATCGTGTCAAACTATCGTGAATACCTGTCTGTGATCCCTAGTTCCTTTATCCTGAAGTATCCTTGTTCATTGGGAAAATAATAGTGATGGTGGACTGAAAAATTAAAGATCGTATTTGTAATAGAGCAAGACAGTGGTCAGAGGATACTGGTCTCTAGGTTAGTGGGATCATAATGCTGTATCTTTTTTTTTTCCAAGGAAGAGATCTTCACTCATCACTGGAATTTGCAGTAATAGATGAGAAACTGAAAAAGCACAACTGACATTATTTATTTTAGAAGAAAATATGTCTAGTTCAGCATTCAGAAATGCAGTTTGACATATTTTGTATCTTTCAAAGGAAACTCCAGAAACAAAGGGCTCTGGTTTCTGAAGAAGAGATGTTTAGCAGGACTGTAAGTGTAACAAAATGTGTCTTGCATTTGGAAGACCTAAACCAGGAAGGGAGAGTAGGTAATCATTGTGATTACTCCATTTTTTTGTTTGTTTGTGAGCTTGGAAAAAATATTAATTCACTAAATGACTACAGAGAAAACTCACTAAATTCTCAGCAGAAGCTGCACTGAGAGGCAGCGCTGGCTTTAATTTAATTTAACTCCATCAGCACATTTTTTTTTCTCTTGTCCATTCTAAACAGATTTTGAAGTGAACATAAACGGTCTAAATGAGTTCCAGAATTCCAAAACATAGTTAACATAATGAGTAGACAGCTTTAATGAACTGTATGCATGGTAAAATATTGCACTTTTAATTACTGGATTATCATTTCTATGATTATTACACAGCTGGTGGGCATTAGTATTTTCTGTGTGCTTATGAATTTCCTTCTGTAGGCAAGGCTTCAAATCAGGTTTCAGCTCAAGGTTTGGCTGCATAAAAATAGCACGATTCTTCATACTCAATTACAGAAAAACAATAGAAGTGGTTTTTTGTTATTAATTACTTTTCAGTTAATTAATTGACAAAGCTTTTTTTCCTGTCAGATGGCTGGGACAGTTCAGCTCTGAGTGCAGTGATGGTGTGACTTGTGGTGAGGGTTGAGCTCTTTGCTTTGACCTCCTCAGTGGTGGGAGTAGTGTTCTCAAGGTTAACGTGTTGCTCTTCTGCAGTACTGGTGTATGCTGCGTACTGCATTCTTACAATGATAGCAGGTAGAAAGGAGAAACCACATATACTAAGAAAGTATTTTTGAATGAGATCATTGAAATGGAGAGGGAAGAAGAATTAATCTCCTTTGCCCTGTGGTATTGAGGTATATAAGCTTGATATACACCTCATTTCCGACTCCCATATAATTCGAAGGTTACACGTGTTTTTTTATTACTATGTATTGTCTCACTGTAGTAAATAATATATGGGCTTGGTGAAAAAATAGCAGTTAATACCCATCTTGGCTACATAAGTATGACCACTACTGTAATGTGACACGAGACAGCTGATTTTTTTCTATCAGATACTCAATTCTTGACCCATTATTTGTGTTTAGTTTTGGAGTTATACTTTCCTCCTATTCCAGAAAAACTGGCTAACATTCTTTAGCTTATTACAGTCTCGGCTCACAGGAACTTGTAAGAATTTGCATCAGTACTTCAGGAAGGGTTCTGACTCTGAAAATGTTATTTTGTACAGAACAACTTTCATAAACTCAGTTTATATTGGTTACCAAAGGGAAAGCAGTAAGATCACGTTCTACCAGTACCTGCTGTCACAAGAAGAAATAGGTTGGCAGCTTTTTGGTTTAGTGTAGAATAGTGTATACAAAGTTTGGAATTAAGTCTTGTCCAATTTTTTATTTGCATGTGCAGGACTTTGCTATTTGCTACTCCAGTACCACTGATCTCTGGAGGTGCCTTCCAACCCCTATGATTCTGTGATTCTGTGATACCACGGCCATTTTCAGAAGTTTTTGTCTAAAAATCAGCATATCACAATTAGAATGAAAACTATAATTGTAATAAAATATTCACAAAATGTATTTTGTGTCTCTGTTTCACTTGTTCATTGACAAATCAAAAAATTTGTTTCACTTGGCTATTCTAGCCATTGGTGGTATTCTTTGGCTAAAATCATAAACAGTACTATCTTAAAAATTAAGATGTTCATTCTCTTCAAAATTAAGAATTGTAGCAAATGCTACAAATGATGGTAATCTACAATATATGTTATCTAATTACCTAGATATGTAAAGCCAATTTTATGCCAGTGTCACCTGAGAGTGAAGACAATTTTTTTTATTCTAGATACGTGCCTTGTGCCATTTACTCCAGGTGAGCCCACAGGTGTTATGCCTCGATCCTGCCAGCTAAATCCAGACGTGCCACAAGTTACACAATTGCTGAACTTGGCTAAAATTCACAAGCCAGAAATAAAATGCAGGAGTTCTCCAGTAACAATGCAAGAAACAGGTATTCTCTTGTTTTAAAATACTGTGAATGGGGTCCACACAGCATGCATACAGATAACAGATGTTTGCTGAAAAAGCACGTTATATTTTTCTATTGTCTTCAAATTAAATGTAACGACTCTTAAATTAAACTTATTAAGTACAATAGCGTGAGTGATGTATCCAAACCACTAGCAGCAAAAAGTTTGTTTGAAGCTAGAAACCTCAACATCCCTGGCCTATGTGAAAATGAAACAAATGAAATGTCTTTAGCTTAAAGATTAACGTTTATTTCTAACCTCATCGTACAAACATGACATGTACTTCCAGACGTGCATTTCAAAGTTCACACACCAAGCTTGCTTGAAAATGGAAGCTTTGGTGTGTTTAAGTAAATTTCAGTTGGAGGATGGGTTTTTTAGCCACTAAACATTTTGTTTATTTGATATTCAAAAGACCAAATTATTTTTAGTCTCATCCACTTTTAATTACACATATTATTTCATTATGCCATCAACACACTGTTATGTGTTGATGTAGGTAATTAATTGCAGTCAATTAATGTGTTCATAAACAGAAATTTTCATGCAAATCAGATTTTATAATTGGAGCTAACAACATCCCAAGGTAGTCAGCAAATTAAAGAAATTGATGTTGGGTCATCTAATCTTGTGAGATGGCAGCTGCTAGCAGGAACCAAATGTCACATCACAAACAAAGGAAAAAGCTAATGGCAGAAAGTGGCTTCTTTTGTGCTTATTAGCACAGTAATCTACAATATTTGGTGATTAATGTATGATCTTTTTTTCATTTCTGTGTTGGCAATGGAAGTAGAACTTATCTAGAATGAATATTAATCAATTCTATAAAAAGGCTTAAGAAAATCTACAAAATGTGTTTCTACTTGATTTCTCTTTGCTTCTTGAAGATGTCTCATCTCAAAAGTAAGGTAGTAATTTAACACTTAAAGTTGTAGCAAGAAAAAAGCCTTTACACAGTGCAAGTTTCAATTCTAAATTAATGTGAGATTACACTAATTTATTTAGCAGCTCTGGGAAGAAGGATCCACTGACAATCATTTTTTATTTTGCAGAGCAGTTGGCATTTTCTTTCCTTGAAAAAATTATAGCAGAAATCTTTTAAATACTAAAAAATATCAATAAGGACTATTATTTATTTATTAGAGCTGTTTTTTCTTACTGCTACAGGTTAGATTTCCATTCAATTTCTACAGAAATCATTTAAGTTTTCTTGCGTGTTTCCTCTTTTGCAGCCTCTTTTTAAACAGAACTTTAAAGCAAGGAGATTAGAAATATGTCTGTATAATGGACCAAAAGTTTCTTGCTTGTATGTTGACACTCTTCCATAAAATGCTTATTTGCTTAAAGTAAAAAAATAGTGAACTTTGAGTACAAATTCCTGGGGATTGTGCTATAAAGAACGTAATTTTTGTGTATGTCTAGGACTGATAACTCTTTCATTTCTGTTGATTTTAAAGTTATTAATATTTATTCTAAGTACTGTAATATATTTTTAAAACTGATTGTTCTTTACTTAGCTCGCTTGGTTAATAGAAGACAAGGCAATAAGAACAGCAGTAAAACTCAGGATGTGTCACATATTGCATTTGGATCCAAGATACTTGGACCACCTCCATCTTCAAACAGAAGAGTCAGCACAAGGGTATCTGCAGAGGTAAGACTTACATTGCAACTTTTCCTCTTCTACCAAAGAAGAGATTGACCAATAAGAAGGAGACTTACACCCAAAACATATTTCAGAATTGATGTGAGGCTACATCATATGTATGCGCGTGTGTCAATATTTTTTTCTGATGATGGTGTCTTTCAAGGTAACGAAGACTGTGGGTAGCAAAAGTAATAGATCATACCAACTTCAAAGTTCAGGAAAAAGAAGTGAATCCCTACAAAACACCGAGAGACTGGAGGTGTCGTTCTCACCATGCAGTGATTCTTTAGGTCAAGAAGATAAAAGAAATACTCACCAAGCAGCTAAAGATGTTCATCAAAATGGTAAGAGTCTAAAGGGAACAATATGTAATGAACTCACAAATGGCCAAATTTTTTTCAGGATTCCAACTTCAGAGTGTAAGACTTAATTCTCATTTATTAATCCTTTACTACCCAGTTAATTTACTGAATACATTTATGAGAAATTATGGCTTATTCTCCTATATGGTCTTGAAAAAATGCTCGTTCTCTGAAGGTTTTGTAAGCATTTTGAACCAAGGACCACCACCTGCTGACAATAGCTGCAGGGTAAACATATTCCTGTCTACCTCATGCTGTGCATGTAAGGGGCTAGTGCAGTGATTCTTGATAACTGTGCAGGTTTTGCAAGACTGTTTTGTGTACTTCTGTATTTTGCCCTTCTGTACATAGTGCTAAATTTTGACTTTGTCTGTCATATTCCTGCTGCCCCACAAATTCCTGTGCTGTTCAGAACATATTTGTATCCCAGAGCAATGCCCTGTATGCTGTTCTTCCATACCTCAAGTAGGAAAAGCATACGTGTTCACAGGTATTTGATACATCTGGCTTGTATTTCAGATTCTGCAATTCAGACTCAGAATACCTCTGAGAATGGAAGAACAGATTTTCAGCTCCCCTCACCACAAGATCCATCAACAGACAAGAACAGTCATAGAAGATTATGTCTAAAAAATGCAGACAAAAACACATGGGAGATAACCACTGGTATGTTGCTAATTTTATATTATTTTACATCTCCGTTCTGTGTGGGTCAGAGGACTATTTGTTGTAAATTTCAAAGGCCTCAGAAGCAGTTCACATAAAATAAAAATGTATGTGCTGTAGGGATTATGGAAATCAAATACCCTGCAACAAAAGTGCTTCTGAGCACTGATAAAGATTTGTAGGATTAAGCAGAGTACCAGTGCATGAATGGATGAAAAAGAAAAATTCCATGCTTTCTTTATTAAAGGGAAAGAACTAAAAATATTTTTTTCTTTAAATCTCTATTAAATTTAACACTGAAGACCCCAAACATTGAATGTTTACTTTTTTCTTATTATTTCTGGATGTTCTGATGAACTTCCCATAGGCAAATCATTCATTAAAAAAATCTGCCATCCTCTGTTCTGAACTTCTCAAGAGATGACAGTGGAAAAATGGTAGGCATTCTTTGAGGAAAAGTTCACAGGGAAAGGGGAATAAAGCATGACACAAAATATGAGGGCCCTACTAATGTTAAATAAAATTACACCATACAACATTTGCATAAAATACTGTACAAATCCTTTACAAAAGAAAGTAAAACATATGCTGACATTATCAGATGAGAAAAAAGAAAAAAAAAACACTCCTAACTCATCCTTACCAACCATTTATCATTTGCATTCACACTGAAATCCTAATACTAATAAAAGCAAAGAAACAATGGTTACTGTGATAACTTGTATTGCAGTTGTTCCTGCACACTGTCAGGATTGTAATCCCATAAACCTCGTGTTTGTATCCCAGAGCAATGCCCTGTATGCTGTTCTTCCATACCTCAAGTAGGAAAAGCATATGTGTTCACAGGTATTTGATACATCTGGCTTGTATTTCAGACTCTGCAATTCAGACTCAGAAAGCCTCTGAGAATGGAAGAACAGATTTTCATGTTCAAGTTCATGTTCAAGTCAAGAAACTGCCGGCAACTGATCTTGCCCAATAGCAAACATCCACAAGCTTGGTTCAAGAGCACTGACTCAGCCAAAAGCAGAGTGCTCACACTTCTGATGTGTTCATACGTACTTACATCATGGCAATTCATTGGCACAACGCCTCATTCCCTAAACAGGAGCAAAGCATGTATGATTTTTGATTCTCCTTTTATACAAAACAAACTGTAGCAACAAGAATCTGTCATATAAACTCTTTTCTTATAACCAGACGCTTAGTGTTCTTAAACCCTGTGCAGCCATCAGCTTTGGTCACCTTGGGGCAGCACTACACTTGTGCCATTAGCTTGACTAAATATTACCTTAAGTTTCATGAGTGGAGAACTTTCATAGGTAGTTTTTTTTTATTTCTTTAGAGATTGGTCACTATTATGTACTATATCTTCTAGATTTATCACAGAGCTCAAATCAACAAACGTTCCATAGCAGGTACACAGTACCTTTATAAAGGTAAATTATATTTTAGCAAGAAAAAAAGACGAGTAAGTATTGTTTATAGTTTGTCAATCTTAAATATGCAATGTTGAAACCTTCATTAAAATGTTAGGCTGCAATTAGAAGCTTTACCATAAGTCTGACTGTGTGGAAGAACTAATTAGATGTTTAGGTGATCATTCTTGCATTTATCGTGTTTGCTGCAGTGTTGTGATTACATAGCAATTTACATATTTTGCTAAGAAGATGCTCCAAATTGTTCATCACAATTGACATGTAAATGCTGAGTATAAAAGAAATTGCAGTGTAGTTTGTGGTTGAGAGATAATAGGATTTGGTTTGGTCGAAAACTCTCCCTGTCTTTATCTTGTAGACCATTAACAAAATGGCACAGTGATTACAGGTTACTGAAGTTGCTGAACTCAATACCTCGTGCAAATGTCATTTGAAAACCTTCCAGACTTAAAGTTTTCTCTTGTGGTTTCAGTTGTATCTGCATGCATCTTTTTACATGTAAATCCAATTACCTGGCTAATTAAGATATGTTTTCAGGTGAGTGTGACACAATATTAAGCGACCAAAGAGAGAACCCTGCTCTCCTATCCTTTGGCAAACCTGTAGTTGTTGATCAAAACAAAAGGCCATTGGATTTACACAAAAAAGGTACTTCTTAAGAGCTATGAATAGCATCACTCATTTCTTGAGACTTAAAACAAATGGCATTATTTACACGTTCAGCTTGCAACTCTTAGAGTCCCCTACAGTTTAAAAGTGATGTCTGTATATTTACAAAATGCAGTTGGTATTGTACAGTATGAGGCATGAAAAGCCTTGAGGCTTCTGACAACAGGGGCTCTTCATTTAGAGACTGAGAAATGTTCTCCCCTGGCACAAGGTGCCAGCCATGAATAAACAAGATGTGTTATGTCCCTGCTTTTCACCTGGTACAAACTGCTGTGTAGGATGCTAAGCACAGCTCAATAGCTTCACTGGCTGCGTTCAGTAAACTGGAAGAATCAGAGCAGCATAGTAAGAAGGCAGGCATTCCTGCCAGCATTCTCATTTTTCTCTTTCTTTTGCTTTCATTTAGTTCAATTTTTTTTTTTTTCCCAAAGCTGAATCTGCCCAGAGTAATAACTATTTCTAACAAAACTGAGAAAGAATCAAATTCCATAGTAAATTTACTCTGCTCTGTGACAGCAGGCATTTTATTATTGCAGTGCTACTTTATTATTAGGTTTTTAGTATTTTTTATTGAGGGTTTTTTTTTTTTAATATGGTTGGTAACTTTGTTTTATGGAGCCAGAAAGTTTCCAAATCTAGTGAATAATCCACACCACACTACCTTTAATGAAGATAAGGGAGTATTGCATACTTGAGCAGTTCTCCTTTTCTCAGATGCTGTTTGAGATTGGTTTTAATCAATCAAATTGACATTTTTTTTCGATGTCATCATTCCAAACAGTAAAATATAACTTAACAATGAGAATGTAAAAATGGTCTTTTTGTGTTTATCTGGTGCACTCAATCTTTAAATCCATTTCTGTAGTTTATTGTTTGTTTCAAAATTGGCAGATTAGTACAGTCAGTGTTCAGGGAAACTTGGTGAAACAGATATCTTCATACATTTTTCATGTCATGCTGTTTTTTGCAATAGAGCTACAGTTTGAAATTGAGATTTAAACCATAGGTTCTAGACATAAAAGAAAGTGTAGAAATTCAATAATAAAGAAGCAGCAGATTGCAATATGATGAACTTTCCACCAAGTGTTTGTGGTTTTTGAAAGGAAAACATCAGCCACAAAAATAAACCTATAGAAAAAGATCAATTGCCAATTTTAATAATTAACAGCTAGATATTTTCAGCTCTGAAAATTACAAGTTTGCATGTCATGTGTTGTATCCTGTGCATTTTTTGAGCTTTGATCAGGAAATGTTTTGGTTGAGCTCGCCTCCCTAGAAAACAGCCTGATCTCTGTCAGTGCACCTTCATCACTCTTCCAAATGTATACATCAGAACATCTGCATTAAAAAAAAACCTTATTTTTCCTGATGAGAAAAGAGAGTGATCAGTATAAAGTGTAGTTTATATGTTTTACATTGCAGTAAATATTTTGCATTTCAGATGAATGGGTGTTTCCAGAAAGTTTCACTGAGAACATGCAGTTGGATGGGAGCAAGCAGCACGCAGCCACTCAAGATTCAGCTTGCTGTGATGTAACCTCACCAGAGATCACCTCTATTGAACATCAGCACAATGAAATGGGTGATCACAACATGAATCATAAAGAGATTTTCACGTTTTCATCAAGACCTCGATCAGCTCCTCATGGGAAATCCCCAAATATATCACCAGAACACTGTATTTTCCCTCTGGATTTGAAGCAAGACAGTAACCACATCCAGGGGGAAACCCAAACTGAAGATAACTTTAAAGGAACTGACAGTAGTGAAGAGGTAGGCCACTTTGTAGGTGCAATTCATGATAAAATAGCCTTTGTCCTAAAACTCCTAAGTTGAGATTCTGTCTTCCAGGTAGACAGGGAAGATAAATCATCTTTTCCCCATGTACCTTTAAGTAGATTTGTCTCTGTCGGGTTGCTGTATTTAACTGAATACAGGGGTGAAAATGAAGGCATTCCCTCTGTAACAAGAGGACAAAAGAAACTTAAGTCTCTGTCAGCCCTTCTGCCAGTACAGAGATGTGAGCATTCTTTGAGCATCCTTATAACAGAATTTAAGGAAGCCTGCATCATAGATTTTGGCAAGACATGTTTGTTATACTTGAATGAGTAAATAAGGCTTCATTGTGCCTTTTGGAACTGTAAGCAGAGACTGTTTTGCTCACCAGCTTTGTCACACATTCTGGTGCATTTCATTTTCAATTACAAAATCTTTTTCCCAGCATTCCAATCTCTTCCTTATAGCTAAGGAGTAAAATACAACCAAGATGCCTAATGCTAGGACACACGAAACAGAAATAGTCTTCGGTTCTGGGAATCTATCTTCCTGATGCTAATTACAACAGATAACATTTTTATCAAGTTTTTTTCCTATGATTTTGTGGGTTTCCCCACTATCTGCAGCACTTAAGCCTGTGAGGCTTTGTTATTTCAACAAGGTTTCAGAATTTCAGAGTTAGATCAGTTTTAGGCAGGCTAGTAATTCACAAACAGTACTGTGTATGTGATAACATACCGAAAATACAGAACTGTTACTGTTTGGATTTCAGATAATTTCTTTGTCAGTTATCCTCATGTAAACAATCAGTGGCTTATTTTTGTGACGTGCCTCACTAAAAGCTCTAGGCCTCAGTTCATCTGGCAGTCTGTTAATGCTTCAGCAGACCAGACTGAGGCTGTCACCAGGTGGCTGGCACATTGTTGGGTTGCTTGTATTGCTAGTGGATTCATTTGCTGGAAAACAAACAGAGTTGCAACAGAGCTATGTCCTTGATGAGCTTCTCTCCCATTTAAAAATCCTAAAAATTCAAAGCACTCACTGCTTTTCTGTTCTGATATTAACAGATGCCATCATCCATCACAGGAAGCTTTCTGTCCTGGGATATGAAAAAGCCCACACGCTGTATAACATCAGCAGTAATGCAGGAAAGCATGAGGTCCTTGATGGATAGACAAGGCCCAGTGACAAATGTGAAGCAGTGTGTGGTGTTCTTGGGTCTTTACCTTACCCAGCACTGCGAAAGATCTATTGTTCCTCACAAGAAGCTATAAATCTCACATCATTGCATGTTATCTGTAATGTCCTGCCATACTGTCATCCTGCCCCAGAGATTCAGTGCCAAGTGCAGAAAGATAAAGGCAATGACCAAACACTCCTGCTTTGACAGCACAGGAAGAACACTGTGGCACAACATTAATGATCATTTATAAGGCTGATGCAAGAGGGACTGAAAGAGTATTCCTATCTTGCCTACAAAGATTTACACTGCTATACTAACTTAAAACTTTCTTGGACCATGTGCCAGAGGTAGAATAGAGCATAGACTGTTTCATTCACAGTCTTGTGATGCAAACTGCATTAATAAAGTCGATATTGCATCCGGAGATACATTACATTAAAAAAAAAGCATCAGAATTGTGGCAAACAGATCTACAGCATGCTGATTATCTAACTACTACGTTAATAATTGATAGTTAGGCCATTCTACCATCCTAAAGAAGTCACTGAACCAACAAATTACTTAGCTGACTTGTTTTGTCCATGTTCATCCTCTTGCCTGTACAGATGTGTTTGTTGCTTTTTGCTATAAAGCTGACTAGCATTACACTGATATTCTGAATACTTATTTAATATTCAAATTGCTGAAGACACTTTTATTTCAGGCACTGAAAATACAGGAAATGGGAGCCTGGAAAAGCCATGACAGTTAAACATAAGACCATTGACTTAATAGTAGCTGTTTTTAACACAATTTAAGATATGTATGCAAAATTACCCAAATTCTTTAGCAAAATCATAAGTATTTCCAAATCTTGCTTACAGGACAAAGCATTTAATTACCTAAGTTAGAGTGAATCTTGCAATGATTTTTTTAACAATGCATGTTAATCTAACATGTTGAAGTAAGCTACATTGTGACTGGTTCTTCATACTACAATTGTCTTTCGTTATCTTTAAGTATACTGGAGCTTTCTTTGACATTCACGTGTTGTGTTTCTGTATAACATACATGGGTACGTACTCTTGAACAAAACAAGATAAGACAGATATCTCCAGTTACAATGAAACAATTGCATATGGGCATGAATTTTGTTACTCCTGAAAAACAAGTGAAACTTATTTCCTGATGAAAATAATTTTTGAAATAGGATGCCTTTGTAGTTTAAGCGTCTCCTATTGCAGAGAAGTACAAAAGTTCCAGAAGTTCTTTGTGTGTTTTGCATCACTCTATCATCAGTTCTAAAATTACATTTAAAGAGAGCAAATCTCAGTTTCATCACAGTGTACATTTGAAGTTAGTGGAGCTGCAAAGGAGAATTATGTACTTTTTGATTAAATCTGTGGAAAAGCAATATAATCCATGAAGAAGTAAAACCGCTGTAAAATACAAGAGATGGGCCATTGGTTTTGCACCAGGATAAATTTCAAATAAGTGCATATTGACTCTATGCTGCATGCACTGGAAGCTGCAGGATGTGCATAACAACTGTGCTAGAATTACACTTCTCATGTAACTTTTGGGAAGGAGATGTTTCAGCAAGGAAGCTGATAACAGCAAGTATTCATAAATTCCCTTAATCATTTATCAGTGAGGCACTGAAATAGTTAAATGCTGTTATTCAATTATGAGAGTCAATCAGTAAAGGATAAAATCTCTTCCTGGTGACTGTGGCTGGTGTTCCCACAAGGCCCACTGCTGCCAAACTCCCTTTTGGCTGTGAAGCCTTCAGCAAAGAAACTTTCCATCCTTATGCAATTAAAAGAGTAATATACTGAGATAATACACTCTTACCAAAGCCGATGGGCAATTTCACTCTGATACCTCAGTGTTAAAGCTCAGCATACAAAGGGACCATATCCCATCTGCTCCTCCTAGGTGGCCCTCAAGAGTGATTAGAATGATCTTCTTAAAATTACATCTCAGCAAGAGCAATCAGCTTTATGTATCGAGCAATTGCCCAACTGCCCATCTGCATGTTTTTTTCCTAGGAATACAGCATCAGTGCAAGTGCTGGTTCCTCAGGGAAATCATTCTCATCTTCACTATACATACGTGCATATGCTGTGCTGTAGATAACATAGCAAACTTTATGTTTCTGGCACCACATCATGATTTAATATGTATTCAGGTTTTAGAATGATTTGTTAAATATGGCTGAAAGAGACATGGAAAGATGGGAGAGGTTTAGATTTCAGATAAATCAAAGTTAACAATTTATCTCTAGCGTGAAAAAATGCAGTGCTTTCTTTAGTAATCTTCCACCTCAAATTAACCTAACTTAATAAGGGTTTCCAGCACAGATTTGGTGATAACATATGATAAGTAGAGAAGGGAAATAGAGTTGTGTGTTTCAAGGAAAGCAGGGGAACAGACCTGTTGTTACAAACGTCTGAAGTGGGTATCATTTCAGATCCAACAAAAATTCAAAGAACAAAAGCAACACAAAATGTCTGTAAATTTGCTGACGTTTCACCTATCTGTACATTTCATACCGTGCCTAAAAAATGTGCAACAATTTAGATAGTGTAGAAATAGTTACATTAGTATACCTTCAGAGAAAACGTGCTGTACATTCACTGTTCCTTTGTTTTTTGCAAACCACAGACAGTGATACTCCAAGGAATCCACTATGCTTACTCACCCCATGTGTATTTTCTTACTCGATGTGTTATAAAATGCATTGCATTGGAGGTTCATGTTATATCTGCAAACCATCCTCTGTTGCGATATTTCATAAATAAAAAAAGAGATTCTTTTTCCAGTAATTTGTGAATGTACATTTTGTGGAATCCAACCCTGGACACACAGCAGTCAGCAGCAAATTTGGACCACACAGTAGGACTGGACCTTAGCAGTGAAAGGTGTATTAAAGATACTTTGGTGTCTTACTGAATCTTGCAGTATCTTAAATCTGGACTGGTACCATCTGATACAGAAGCAGCAGATGAAGGCACGGCCTCTCTCATCCCTTATTCCATGAGAATAAGTGAGAATAAGAACATTGAGGCAGCAACAAAGCAAGTCTAGTGTTTATTTCCCATATGCCTGGATTTGCTGTTAATTGTTGAGATGTAGCATGAGAGAACATCACACACAATTAATGGGAGGTTTCGCAGAGACACTGTTGAGTGTGAATGTAAGGATAATAAACTAACCACCAGAATTCTTCAGTGATACTCAGCTATCATCCAGAGATGAGTAAAGTGATCTCAGCCAGAATTAATCCTTGTATTTGTAAGTTGTGGGTGCAATGTGAAAATACAGAATACTAGTAATTCAATGGAAATTTATTGTTATCATGGACTTCTTGCTTGGTTTCTGTTTTACATCTGTTATAAATGTTCTTGAAATTGATTATTCTATAACATGTAGGTTTAAGAGGTTACCAGAATGCTAAACCTGGGCTAATGTTTTGAGAAGCATAATCCTGTCTCCCTCTCTCTCTCTCTCTCCTGTGGTTCTCTTAAGATAGAGAAGTGCTTGTGGGTACTCAGGGTTGTTGCCAGGAAGAGCAGATGGTTCTCAGAATCTTTTTCAATTTGAAATTAAGCAGTAGAAATTGAAGAGCCATTTTATAATCTTAAGGTCAAATATTTTGTGCAAAACAGCATTGTGTGACAGCGAGGGGGAAATCACTCACTTTGTTCCTTGAATTTAGGACAACAACAGCGACTTCATCCAGAGTACTGAGAACCTTGAGATCAGCAGCAGCAGCCAAGGAACGCCTGATTCAGCAGTTTTTAAAGACAACACATTAAAGAGGATATCACAGAGAAATGAAAACTGGAAGAACATGGGATGCAGCAAACAAAACCTCGAGGAAAGCATGGCGTCAAAACCACAGAGTTCTGCTGGGCGAAAGATGGAACCCGTCGGCAATCAGAGAACCTTAAAGCCTACTTTTTCTCTTTCTCCAACTGGAAGTAAAACCGAATTCTTTAAAGTCATTCCAGATGTGTCTGAAAAAATTGAAAAATCTGAGGGAGTTTCTGGTCAAATGAAGTCATCAGTCAGCAAAAACTCCCTCAAGAAAGTCTCAAGGGAAAATTTGTGTGTGACAACACAGACTTGCGTAAGTGGTTTTTACTTTGAAATTAAATTTGATTGTTTAGAGAAGCTGTGTTAGATACAACCAACTGCCTGAAATGAGAAACAGTACATCTTTCATCCAGATACATTCTGGCTTCATCATAACAGTCTTTACCAAGCGCAGTCTGTTGAAGGTTGGTTTTCTACTTTTTGTTGCGTATAAATCAATACTGTCAGAAACCACAGAGGTTCATAGATACCAATAGATGTAATTCAGCAACTTGCATTTTGGAAATTATGTGTTAGAAAGAAAAAAGTCATTTTGAGTACCGCCTTATCCTGCTCACTTAGTGATGTTCCTTGGTGGAACATCTACACATCTCCTGAAAAGCTCCAGGGAAGGACTGGAGCTGACTCCACAACTCCCTGGGCAGCCTGTTCCAACAAGAGCAGTTCAAACTGGGCAACACATTGAAGATGAGCATCTAGATAAGCATATGTTCAAGTTTTCAGTCTACCATTGGTATTAACATGCAGATATTGCCATGCCACTGATACTTCAGTGTTTCATTTTTTTTTTTGTTTTGTTTTTTAAATGAATTTAGTCTCTCCAGTACTGGTGTAAGGGTTGTGGTTTATGTATCATCATCCTCTGAGTCTCTATGGATTCTAAGAACCTCCTCCTATACTGTGCAAGTTGCTTAGTAGATTTTGTAAGAACAGAACATGTTTTCCTGTGAAGAGTCTTGACACAGGATTCCTTTGTGAAGGAAACAAAAGTGGGAATTAAAGACTATAATGTAGGTGAAAGTAAGTATTATTGAGACCTTAAGACAACGTTGTGAACTTCTGGATACGAGCAGCCATCCAAGCACAAGGTACTCTTTGTCCTACAGGACATAGTTCCTGGGTTAGTATTTTTCATCAGTTAGGAAGTTAACAAAATTAGTGACAGAAGCCAAAGACATCAATGAAAAATATTGCCAACTGCATGAGGTAGCACTGGAGAATTTCATTGGCTGTGGGCATGAAATTATTTGTTTCCATTTTAAAACACTGTTCTTTGTTTTAGGAATTAAATACAAGACAATAGTTTTTACAAATGGGTATTGGAGTGAGTGTTCACATAGAAGTAGTCTCTTCTAATCTGTTCAAGCAGAGGACTGGTAAAGTAACAAATGTTTAACCAACTCTTAGTGCAATCAATTTGCTAACTGCTTAATACATTTTAAGGACCTAGTTGCTTGCAATGTTTTATTCATGTTTTAATAGAGTTCTCTATTATTAAGTTCAAATATTTTTAATTAAGAAAGAAGTGCAGCCCTCTGGGTAATATTGCAACCACGTAGAGAGCTGGTAATTAAACTTTCTGCACGTGTAACTACATTAAACAATCCTGAATAAAGCATTCGAGTCCATAAGAATGCAGATGTCATGTATGAAAAATAGATATAAATTTAAACAAGTTTTGTCAATCTAGCAAAGGATTTGAGAGTTTAATAAAAATGTCTTTTTATCATAAGGGGAAGATAAGCAAAAAGACAAGATAAGCTTTTAATTACTAAATGAAATATTCATTTTAGACAAATTTACAAGTATCACAAAAAATTACTTTTTACATCAGAAGTTTCTTCTATGTTTCAAAGTAAACTCCTCAAATTCAATTTTCAAATTCCCTCTTTGAAAATCATCCAAGATCAGGAAAAATGTGTGAAGAGGCTTTGCTGTAGTGGTCAGTGGCTGCAGAACACGCAGTCCCAGCTATTCTTTTGTAATACAAGGAGTTTGTTGTAGAGAATATTACAGATTGAAAGCTTTGCTGATAGTTCTTATTTCTGAGTACGGTACTTCAAGAGTGAGACCATTGCAAGAAACTAAACAGACTGACCGCTTGAGTGAGGCCAACAAGTCAGGCAAGTGTCAGGAATTCTTTCGTAAAAAACAAAATCTAAAGATCTGTGCATCTTTTTATTGGCATAAGAGACAAGATCAGAGTCAGGGAATGTTTTGTCTTTAGTAGAGAGAGGATGAGCAAAATGTCCTTTCAGTTCCTAGTGCATTTATTGTGCATGGTGCCAGTTCATTCCTTTGTTTTAAGGACTGCATGCCAACAGATCCATATGAGGTAAGAAAAATAAGGAAAAGCCTCTCTTATTGTAATTAAATAAATGAATTACAGAAGGTTTCTGCATGGGAAAATTAACAGAAAGTCCACATCTTCAGTAAGATCAATGACAATTTTAGCAGCTGTAGATGTAGCAGAATACTGATGTGCCAAAGCGAGGCAGGCTTTCCACACAGAAAATAGCAAGCTCAGTGCATAGCAAGCAAGGGAGTAATAGTAGCTGAACTATTAACTTACGTGTAGAAAGGTCTAGAAAAAAAAATGTCAGGTATTATTTTGGAATTAAAAGTAGTAATAATAATCACAGGACTCAGGAATAAAGCGTGGAGCTCAAAAACCAGAGGTAAAAAAAGAGTAACAGCTGAGCTAATCGTGGAGCTCATGCACTGAGCCATTCAACCACTGAGCCTAAAATAAATGCTACTATTGTCATTACTTTTTAATATGTATACACTAGCAAATTACTACAGTAGTCTTTAAAATTTAGTGCTGATATGTAGCTTTCCAGATAAATTCTATGCTGTGTTTCACAAATAACTAACCGTTATGTTGATGGTGTTTATGATTCTACGATAACTGTATGATTAAGTTTATTTCAAGACCTGTATCAAATGTTTAAGCAATTTTAGCTGCAGGATTTTCAGACTTTTAGAATAACAACAATAATAATCATATTTTTATTACACTGGAACAGCAACTTCACCAAATATGCTGAACCCAACCCGGGGTCACTAACAGTGCTGTGCCGTCCTTCCTGTATCAACGCGTGCCTGGTCTTCATAGCTGAGCAGAAATGTGTTAACTAATCTATTCTACTAAACATTTTGATTCCCTTCTAGCATTGCAGCTTCTTTAAGATTCCCCAGAGGCATTCATTTCATTCATGTGTTCTGTTCCATGATCCTGTCCACATTGTTGGCTTCTCTATTTTGTTTCACAGGAGTATGACTGGAAGAACTACCAGTCAAGCAGACTGAGTGCATCCGAACTGCAGATGCTGGCTAGCATGAAGAGGCAACAAAGTGAAGAATTGAAGGATACAGGAACCTCACATGGGTTGAGTGCATCACAGATAGACAACTGTAACGTTAACATGAGTACAAGCAGTGATGATACAACAACCTGGAATTCTTGTTTCCCACCAGTAAGTCTAAATCTACAGTATTTTCCCTGAAGTTCTAATTTTTTTTTTTTTTTTAAATTATTTCAGTGGTTTTGAATATTAACATTTCTTTAAGTAGTTTCAAAAACTAAGGTATCTTTACCAGATGTTTCTTAGAACTCATTAAGTAAAATACACAACCAGAACATACTTGCAGCAGCTTCTATATTACCACTATGGAAAGAAATACCTCCTACTAATTTCCATGGAAGCTACAACAGTTACCAAGGGCACAACACTATTTGTTAAATCAAAACCCATGCACCAGTGGAAGGTGTGATAGTGCCTTCTTCCAGGACAGGAACCTAATTATAAAGTTATTAATCATGATTTAGCTTAGAAAGCAATACAGGAGAAAGCAGCTTACTCTTTCCTAAGACTGGTAGAGACTCAAGCAGGGTACCATCCCAAAAAAGAAATATTGTCCCCTTTGCTGCTAACCCTTAAATGAGGGTGGACTCTGGGTCCACCCCTTCTGGTCACTGAGGGGGCATTGCTTGCACCTGTGCTCCCTGGATTAGCCATGCCTTCTCACCTGGTGTTTTATAGCTGCTATGATGACATCGTTGCTAGGAAAAATATTGCCAACACAGTGCAACTTTCACTGTGCTCACACCTATCGTTTGGTCTCCATAAACAATTGCAAGCATTGAACAATAGTAGTGGGTGCCATTTTTTCCAGATGGAGGAATTCACTGACATACATTTGCTTCATATGTGCTTCCATGTCAGATGCTATTCTGTCAGCCTGCCCTTCTGCTGCCATCTGTCACAGCAACAAAATGCAAGAGAATATTGGTGGGAAGGCGCAGCCTCTGCTGCTGCATTGCCAACTGACTTTACCTGACTTTGCAGGCCAACATAATAAAATAGAAGGCATTACTTTCAGAGCAGCCCTGGCATATATTCTTTCTTAGAATCCTGAATAATCACGTAGGTTGCACAGCTTGTCAGTAGCAGCTGACAGCCTGCAGATGTGTGATATAGCACTTGGAAATATCTTCAGAATGAATGAAACCCACAGATACCAGCCAGCAATTGCTTTCCAGTGTGAGTAATGGAGAACAATTGCTTCTTACAATGATAAAGTCTCATTACTGAACAGCTAACTGTTTAAAGGACTGAAGCAGGAGAGCAGTGTCAAAGAGCTGCAGTAGCTCTGAGCACTTAGTGTGTGATCCTTCTGTATTTTACACCTTGTATCATTACTTGTCCTGGCCCAAAGTGCTACCAAATCTCACAGCTGCACTATGTGACAGAGTGCTGTTATAAGGAGAGTATTTGTTACAGTCCACTGAAGAGCATCGAGTGTATGAAATCAGGGCAGAGCATTCCAGCAACTATAGCAAGGTATTTGCAGGAGCTGCTGCAAAACTAGATAACCTCACACCCCATTTATATCGCAGCAAAATAGCTCTTACTTTATTACAGGTGAAACAATAATAAATAATGAATGTGTCTTAAGTAAAGCCCACAGCTCTCAGAGGCAGCTCCAGTGTTAGGAGAGTAAGCACTGCTGTGTGCCCCAGTATAAATTCTTGTAGGGTAAATGCTCTGAAATGTTAGCTGCAAATTATCTCCAGGAACCTACAGGGCCCAGATGGAGTCCTGTAGTCTGGACAACACTCTCAGTCATATGGTCTGATTTGGGGGTGGTCCTGCATGGAGCAATTGATGATCCTTGTGGGTCTCTTCCAGCCTGGGATATTCGATGATTCTAAAGGATTTTTTAAAACGAAAGGTACTGCTCCAGTACTTAGAGAACCACAGGCTGATTGCCAAGAGAGCTCTTTGATCTCACTGCCTTCATAGTTTCTGGATGCTTTCAGACAAATAACATCAGTTTTAAAAAGTGTTTAGATATAACAGGTTAGTCATTTCAGTTGTAATTTAGCATAGCTGTAGTGTTCTGTTGGCTTGGAAATCTAGAAATGTCTGCTCATTTCATATAGCTGTTTTAGTGAATCCCCACACTAAGCATTCACATGTGCAGTAAATGTATTATTCTGTGCAGAGATAGACTAAATAACTGAGAGATCGAAATACAGCCTATCCAGAGCAATTAGAGCATGTTTGAATGTTGTTTCTGCTGGATTTCAGTCTTTGTTTTTATGTCCCCTCATCTTTACTACTGCAATCATTCAAGCTGAGTCGAGAAAATTTGCAGATGATCAATCCCTCCAAAATCCAACATGCAAACTGTAGAAAAGTTTGTATGAATCTGCAGCCATCTACCGTTGCTTTGTCAAATGATTTTAGCCGTACAGGAAAGAAAGAGAGGAATCCTCATATCATGGCTTGAGAAATTAGGGACAGTTTGCACTTCTTGTAACGGTTAACCTTTCATGCTTCCATGTGTTTCCAGGTAGTATCTGATTATTTATATCGGTGTTATTTACTTTGTGGTCTTCCAAGATAATAACAAAAGTACTTTTTGTTCTAAGTTTTCCTTCATCTTATAGAACCTTTTTGTACCTTGTTTGAATCTGTGGCAACAGCACCACCAGAAGGCAGATTTTTGTGTCTCTTTCATTCTGAAATACATACAGTGTTCTGTGAGGCAGTGCAGTGTATAATCATGTTAAGCAGTGAACATACATATCAGAGTAGTATTTTATAAATCAAACACATTTTTAGTTAGTTTGTTTTTTCCATCACTTGCCTCTATCAGTGTGATTTCCAGATTCATCGAAAATTTTCATGTATTACTGACTAATGAATTTCAGCAGGCTTCTGAAGTGAAGGCACAAAGATCCATCATATTGCTAAGCTGCAGTTAGAACAGATGTCCTTAAAAAACTATAAAACTGATATACTAAAACTGTATTTTACAACCTATGATGGCTTAGCAAGAACTGAGTAGATGCTGTCAGGAGAAATTGTTGAAATGCAAGTTGTTAAGCAGCTGCTGTAAACCATGACAGCCAAAAAGAAATAAAATAGCTTTGAATATTACACATTACCCAGCATAGCTATCAGCTATAAATATAAACTGCTTCTTTTTTTTGAAATGAATTTTACTTCAAAGGAGAACTGCGAATCTGTGCAAAAAGTGAGTGGGGCACAGGGCAGAGCTCCAAATTAACAACAAATGTATGTAGAACTAAATATTTTAAGAAGATGGTATTTGACTGAATGCTTTCTGAAATTTCAAGATATATGAAGCTCAGTGTTAGCTTTGCAACAACGTGCAAGACAGCTCTATGTACTGCAGAGTATAATGTGAAGTTTATATCAACACATATGTGAATTATCCAAGAATTGACGGAAAGTTCAGCAAATAACTCTGCTTTAATGCCTTGCTCTGTGTTGGAGATCCAGTCAGATCTTCCTGCCCTGTCAGGGAAATTCAGCTTCTTGGGTTGCTGTTTCCAGACAACATCAGACATCACTTTAGATGCAACACAGGAATTTTGGAGCAAGATCACATATAAGAGAGTTCAGAATATCTTCCTGTGCTCCCTTATTCTCAGTCAGAAATGCAAAGGAGAATGAATTGTAGAATCATAGCGTTGTTGAGGTTGGAAAAGACCACAAAGACCATCAAGTCCACCATCAAACCACCCCCACCATAGCAAGCCCACGTCCCTCAGTGCCACATCTCCACAGTCCTTGAACAGGGATGGTGACTCCTCCACTCCCTGGGCAGCCCGCTCCAACCTATGAAGGTTCCCTCAGATTGCTAATTGATGAACCCTAAAAGCTAACAGTGGTGTAATGCTCTGTTATTAGACTCCAGGGTATGCTCACCACTCAGATGTGTCTTTCAAGCACAGAGTACACACAGAACACTAAAATTACTTGTTTCTCAAGCAACTGCCTAAATATAAATTCAATCAAATAGATTTTGAACGAGAAACCATTTGAAATTTCAAGGTTCTCACTTAGTTTTTGGAAGGTCTCCTGCCCTCCATTGTGATGATTCAGAAAAGGAAACACTTTACACAGAAATGGTCTGACAGAACTGAAGTCTGACAGACAAGAGGAGTGATATTTAAACCCAGAATTATTCCAGCTGAGAGCTCAGTTTGACAGCCCCTGGAGGGATCTATTCACATCAAGTCAAATTGCAAAACTGAGGCAGACTATTCTTTACTATGAAATGAGACTAAAAATTATTTAGACAGATATTTTGGTTCGTAGACTGACTAATTTACCTTCTGTCTCATCCACAGTCTTCCACTAGCCATCACTTGGGAACTGCACCATCCATGACCAGGCAGTGACATATATTTGGCAGTAATTAGAATGTCATTCATCCCAAGCATACCATCTCTCCCCACTTCTTCAAACGATGAGAACATTCTCTTTTTAATTAATTTTGATAAAGATGCAGTTCTTTTCATAATACGTGGTATTTAACATCACACTAACTAATGTGTACAAGTATTTTTAATGCATGCTCATATTCTCACTTGTTTCTGCTTTTGCTTCAGTGGTTTGTTTAGAGCTGTCCTGATGCACTGCGTGATGTGTTGGGGTCTTACCTGCAAACATTACCTATATTTTGAGACAAGGTGTATTTTTATATTTTTATATTGGTTTATGAAAATCAGTGTTTCTGGCAAATAGCTGTTTTAACGCCATAAGCACCCAATAATTTAATATAAAGCTTTGGGGGCACATTATTACTATTGTTTGTACTATTGTTTGTAAGATTTGGACATTTTTTAATCAGAAATGATCATCACGCTTCCCTCTCTGTGCCCTGGCCCTGTCCCCACACTCAGACAGCAGAGAAATGACTGCGTGGTCGACTCCTTCATTCATATGTATTTCCACCCAGATAAGAATCATCTGTTAAGTTATACCCTTGCACAGTTAGGATCTGAATATCCCTTTTAAATTTCACAGATAAGACGAAAGACCATAAAATTCCAATATCGGAAGCTGCAAATGCGTGTCCTTATAAAGGATCTCTTTCATACTTTTGAACGTTCTGAAGGAATATTTGCAAAGTTATTTTCTCACTGTTATTTTATGTTTTCCATAGCCCGTCAGTCAGGAGCATCACTATCAGAAAGAAATGAGCCCACTTTCACATTCCAACCCACGGTAAGATTCCATTTATAGCCCAGGCAGTAAGAATTCAGTCGGAGTGTTCTGAATACTAAATGTGACGTTCTTTGATTTAATCTTAAATCTCCTTTTGGTTGCAGCCTCCTCTCAAAGAGCTTTACTATTGCTCTTTTTAGTCATTGTCTACAGGCTGCAGTAAGTCTGCATTGTCCCAGAATACAGGGCTGGATTCAGCATGGTTGAGATGTACCCTGTGTATTTAAAGGAACCAGCACAGCCCTTGCTCCTCCACGTGCTTCGACATGTGATTCAGCAACTCTTCTTCATCTGACATCTACACACTCTGACCTGTTTCTTTCTCTGTCTGTCTCTGCTTTGTAGGCTCAGAAGTAGAATTGCACCTGTGACTCCAGGTGTCAGGGAATCCATTTGTTAGAAAAGGTTTTAATGTTACTTACTTGGAAAGGACTTTCCAATAGATAACCCAGCCTGGACAAGGTGCTAGGTAATAACACTGTGGGATGGTTCAAACCAATCCTGTCTACAATGTATTTTGGATGTCACGTTTTTAGTCTTATCTGTTCTGTTTGGAGTCAGCACCAAAAGCCCAGTGACTTTAATGTAAGATAAGATGGGGATGTCAAGACAAGGGGAGATGGTGGCTGAAGAGAAGCAGTGAACATTCAGACAACCAGATTGAACTGGCCTGTTTCAGAATTGCCTTGCACCTGTGAAAGCCCAGCATCATTTTGCCAGTTCTTGAACAGCCTGAACAGGAGGCAAACTTAAATTTTAAAGCAGTCCTGCTTCCCTTTCTGTTGGTGTGATTAACACAGATTTTGCATGTCTGAGTTTTAGCTGGACAATGCATGCAATGCTGGGAGGGATATCCGCAGAGGGTATTTTGGATATGACTGCAAGAAAGCTTGCTCCATTTCTTTTCAGGATACCAACAATGTGAAATTTTATGACAGTGCACCACCAGCCAATTGTGCACCATAATATTCATTTCTCCTCACACAGATGTTCTCAGTCACTTGTTTTACTTGCCATCCATGTTTTTATTATCTTCTTGTTAGATTTTATGGAGTGAACACAATGAAACTTGCTGTGCAGGTTCACCCAGATGCATCATTCATTGCAACATACAGCCATATGTTTCTTAGCACACACAGCATATTACTGGAGTTAAAGTACAAGCCTGGATTCCTGTCCCATTTCATAAGTAAACCTAAGTGCCAACACTGTTCTAGAAAACCTCTCCACCTTCCATGCTACTTGCCCAAGGAGCTGTCTCTACCCTTTCTAATTGTTACAGTGGACAGAGTGGATGGAGAGACTTGACTATAGTCCAGGTTAAGTTATCCAGTGCCTTGCAACTGACCAGGACTCCTATTCCAGAATTGATTTCCTAATTCTGATGGCGTAAGAATAGCTTACATTTTAGCACAAGCTGCAGTGCTTTTCTACTTCCAGCCAATAGGTTGAGTCAGGTTTTGTTATTCATATTCATGTGATAAAGCAATTTGGTACTCAGTATGTTTTATATACTGAAAAAGAGAAGAAGCACCAGTATCTGTAAAAATAAAGCATTTCAGCATATTGAGTTTAGATGATCACCAATGAAAACTTATATTTCCATATAATAAAATCTAAAACAAAATGGTATAAACTACAACTTTGTTCTCAATCTGTTTTAATCCAGTACACACAGCAGGCAAATTTACCTAGAAGTCATTTTTGAGAAATGCGGGCAAAGTATTCGTAAAGTACCTGAATACTTGGAAGTGCCTCATAAATTCTGCAGCCCTTGTGAATGGCCAGAAAAGTATTATTGGGCTGTAAATAGGGAAGATGACAAAATTATGAGGTCAGTTTGCATCACGGTGTAAAAACTGGAAAAGATGTGTGTGAAATATCATGATTCACGTTGTTAACTTTCATTCATAATGGAAAATTTAGTAATGTTTTCCACTGAGGGTGTGTATGTGAGAGAGAGAGAAAATTAATGGTAATTTTATAACTTAGTACTTAAGGTATTTTTAAAAGCCTATTTTAACGAGTAGTGTATGGGTAAGTGGAAAATACCTCAATCTTTGTAAGCCTATGATAGCTAAGAAAGCAAACGTGAGAATATCTGAAAATCTGATGTATCCTGTGTAGATCAGTGGGATAAATACCATGGTACAAAGAGATTTACATTATGTACTTACTGATAGAACAAATAGTTTGTTGTAAAGAACAGTAAGGCATGTGACAGGTCTGAAGTAACTTTAGGAGTCAGTGGTGTTTTCTGGGAAACTGAGAGAGCCATGTAGCAGCTATTGTCCAAGTGGAGCTTCTGTCCATTAGAACATAAGCCAGGAAAGAAAGCATCTGTGAAGATAATGGAAATGCAGTCAATAAAAAGACCCAGCTAGACTCATTTTCCATTGGATCCACTGGGTGAAGGTCGTAAGTCTGCCGAGAATATTGCTGCTGCAGTACAAATCATGCCCAAATCATGCAAGGCACAGAACCAGTGAATGAAAGGAGGCAGACGGACTGCAGAGACACAGAGCCAGATGAGAAGAAGGCGTGCGGTGTCTCGAGCCTTAGCTCTGCAGTTCCCCATGCTGGCTGGTGCTTGGTCCGAGCTGAGTCCCATAACTGCTTCTTTTCCCTTCAGATAGGAAACTAATTAGCTGTTACTTCTCCCTTCAGAGCAGGGGCTGGAAACTGCTATGCTTACTTAGGAAGCATTTCAGCAGCACTGTCCTCCAACATATTTGTGTGCCGTAGATTTGGAAGTTGCATTAAAGGAAATGCTGAAAGGAAGTTAATATCACAGAGGAATTGCAGCAGTACTGAACTGCAAAGCGAGGAACTGTTCTGTAAAAAAGATATTTAGCCTAATTGTATGAATAGATTTCCTGAACTACAGATGCTCTTCAGAAAATTTATTTCTGATAAAAGCTCATTTTCCATCTTTGAGAGATATTTTTTTAAGTTGAGATCTGTCTTTATAAGCATTGCCTCACCAGCTCCTCAGCTGGCATCCTGCTCAGCTCTTCCCAATCTACCAAATTAAATTTGTTCCTCTGAAGTTCAAACAGCTGTTCACAGAAACCGTGCGAGGGCAGGACATAAATATTTCAGCACATCGTTAGGTGTCTTTTCTAAGGAAGTTTGTTTTACTTCAGTAATTTTATATAAAACCTACACAGGCAATGCTTTATTTAGGTTGTACCCAGACATTTGGTTCTGTGTGTTTAAAAAATATGAATTCCCATAGCGAACTGTGGGCACAGAGGTTTGATGATAGTAAATATCTGCCTGATTTGGGCTATGGCCAAGAATACAAGACCAGCTCATACAACACAGGCTTCATTGTATGAGAAAGCTTATTTGTCAATAGCATCCAAGTAAAGAATGAGTGATGAAGCCATGTTTCATTCACAAATTATTATTTTTGTAATTAATTGCTGGTGGGTTTCATATATTAACAGCTCAACATTAACAACCTTCCAAAGTGTGGAGTGACAGCTTTTCCTAGGCTGACTGCAGTCTGCAGAAGTTCATTAGTGTCTCAGTCAAAGAAAATGATCTTTGGAAGCATTGTCTATAGCTCTGCTGTGGGTTTCATCCTGCAAGAAACTGATGAAGCTATGAGATGCCATTTTGCCACATCCCCATCTACTCTTTCCTGTGTCTTGTACTTGCCTGTGATTCTCTGACCTGTGTTCACATCAGTTATTACCTCTGTAAGTTTTGCTACGAGAAGAGAGCATTACCATTGCTCTAAAGGGATAGGATTCAGGACCTGCAAGTCAGCTCCTGCTTCTGTGAAATGTTCATTTTTACCTTAATTTCCATCATGGTTTTGTTACAAACTAAAAAGAACCAGCTTAAAACCAAGGAACAGGTTTGGTTCCTAGAATGTTAACGACATCCAATGATATTATGAAGTGTTTATGGGAAATAGATGATGCAGTTCAGGCTGGCTTTTTGTCTAGATGTATGTGCTATCTATGAAAGGTGTCACACTGTACTGTAGTTTAAATCCTTGAAGCTTTGCCTCTTGTGGATGTGATAGGAAGTTCCTTGTCTCTATAACAGGCTGATAAGGGCCTGCAGTCATAGGCAGATGATAAATAGTCATTGACCTTACCTGACATTGGCATGGTGCAGGCTGACTAAAGCAAGCTGTCCTGTCATTGTAACCTACCATTCCATTAGAATGATTGCTGTGTCATCATTCTTCCTTCCAATACAACCCAAAAGAAGAAAGTAAAAACACTTTCTTGTCTTTTTTTGGTGAAGGTATCTCTCCAGTGGAAGTAATTCACATTCATATAACAAAAAATGAACAAGCAGTAGTTGCCTTTTATGACTGCTCCCTATTAATTTTAGAAAGTAAATTCTTCTCCCACTTTCTTATAAAGTTTCTGGTACCAGTCTTTTTCATAACCTACTCCTGCCATAAATGTTGCCGTGATCACAGCACATGAAATTTGTGTATAGTATCAACAGTTCTAGCACACAACCATAAACTTTGCGAACACTGAAGTACCAAAACTAAAGATTTGTTCAGTTTTTAGACTGCCATTCAGGTATTCTCATCTGCCCCAGAAGAAAATTAAATATGCCAGTAGCTGATGCATGTCGTCCTACCACTCATATTCAGTTAAGATTAAGCTCACCTATAAAGTGATGCAGCAGAAGAAAGATTGTAGTTATAACATTTATTTGTGCTACACCAGAACTTCTCTACCATGCATGCTGTAAAATTCAGTTGTAAAACATATTTGTCTCCCATATTTCCAGGTAAGGGCATAAGTACTCTAATAGCGTAGAGTTGAGAAGGAAATTTAAAGGATGTGTTTTACAAAGAAGCATATTTATTTTTGTGATTCATTAGAAGATGGAAGTCATACAACTCCATTATTTCTGCAAAACAGAAATTATTACATTAGGAACTATTAGGAAATTACACAACAGTTGTCAAAATAAGTGAACAAGAACAACGTATCAAAAAATGTGCTTTGCTTTTTCAT